GATTAGGTAGTTATTTGTAATTTATTCGTGATGGCCAGCATTGCTTGAGTTCTGAGACTAGTACTGGAGGAGCACGAGGAAGGCCTAATATCTCTTCCATGACGAAGGCGGTCGCCCAAATAGGTTGACAGCATGCAAGGCTGACGCGCACGCGGCGCGCGGGCAATTGACAACCACGGGTCACGCGCACGCTCACGTGAATGACCGCTGACCGAGCGTGCGCGCGCCCTGTGGTTGACAATTGCGCGCGCGCCGCAGCTTTGCATGTTTTCAACCTATTTGGGCGACCGCCTTCGTCTTGGAGCAGATATTACAGTAATGGAATCAGTGAACCTCGCTGTTATCCTGAAAATTTTGTCCGCTATTTCAAATTACTATAAAACCACGCATAATAAAGACCTGAGTGAGTTTTTCAACATGCATTCGATGCAGCTTTTCCTCCTCTCTTCTAATAAGGGAAAGTTCCCAAGTCAGCTCGGCCAACCCGCATGAGTCATATGTAACTGTAACGGGCTTGAAACGCTGATTTCAAATCTGCTTTCTTCTTCTGCGGAGCAACTTTCCGAGGGAAGTTATGAGCGTTTGAATGTCTAAATTTGTCATGTTCAAAGTGGCTTAAAATCAGTTAAAAGCTGTAGAACAACACCTAACGAAATTTTATTATCTGTGTTCCGTCCTTGTGATCAATATACTTGATACAAAACTGATAAATCACTTTCATGTGTTATTGTACAGGTTTCGCCAATTTCAAGCCACTTAAACATGACAAATTTAGACTCTTAAACACTCATAACTTCTCTCGAAAAGCCGCTCAGCAGAAAAGGAAAGCAGAATTGGAATCAGCGTTTCAAGCTTGTTACGGTGATTTATGACTCATCCGGGTTGGCCGAGCTGACTTGGGAATTCTCCCTCGTAAGAATACACTTTCGAACCACAATCTTGTATGCTTTCTTTGATAATTGCCAAAATTCTCCATCCGTCAGTTTTATCTGCTCAAAGTTAGGCTACTTTTTTAAACTTCATCCCAGAGTTTCGAAAAGGACTAAGTATGGACCAAATAGACCGATTCTCGAACTACACGGTAATATTTTTAGATTCTCTTAATTTGCTGTTTTTAGCTTCAAAAACATTATTTCTTCGGAAGTGGCAAAGTCATGAAACATGTAAATGCAGCAAATACACGAAAGTGAAGCTTTTGCAATTTGAAATATGATTTTTATCAAACATTATTTACGCTACATAAACAAGTTTGATTCGCTCTGAAAAAAAAGAGTAACCTAGTAGTCCTTTTCAAATATCATTAGATAGAGCAGGAAAAGAAGTTCTCAATAGTGTTGAAACCGTTTCAAAAAAGAAACTTGATGAAGAAAAGTTGCCCTGAAAAAAGTCCTAGGAAAACGCTCATTATTTTTGCATCAACCTAATATTTGTCGGGAGTTATCAGTCACTGAGTTTCACAGTTTCTGCTGTAGGGGTGAATTCTCACAAAATTGTTTTAGTTGTATTTTTGAGGTTCGTACTTTTGTTGTAAGGGATCTTCCATATCTTTTACTCAGGTTTAAAATAATTATTGTTCATCCTACACGCCTTCGAAGTTTATTCCTCTACGAAATTTGCAACATTCTAACACTAGTTTTATACACCTCCTGACTATAAGGGCAGCCGATTTGAGTATAGTGACTGATATACAGGCTGCCGCTACAAGTCAAGCAGCTCAGGTGCTCACGATCGCCTTGCTCTGGCCTTGCGCTGTAACGTATCTTTCACGTGTTTCGACAAGCGAGCGGTGATTAGGCTGGCAAGGCAAGTCAAGATTTCGAGATGAAGGAATGAATGTTGCCTATACCTGCTGCCTCAAAGGACTGCTGGTCCTCCACATGCTTAAGCAAGCTATCTGAGAACTAGAGGTCCGCTAAAGGGCGCCTCATGACAGCTTTGCTTCTTCACCCAATTTAAAGCTTGAGGTACTTCCGCATGATATCGCATCTTCTTCTCAGACGCGATTTCAAGAAAATAGTTCAGCACTCCAAATGAATTATGCATAAGACTTGTCATCACTATGCTTTGGCATGACTCGCGACTTATGCTTTGGAAAGGGAAGCTTGCTAGCCATTCTGTCGTATGATAATCCATTCGTGTGATTGATCGATCGGGGACATACTTGTACTCAGTGTAGAACAGCTGAAGTTTTCTTATGACATAAAATGTTCGAATGAATGTTCTTCAATATTCGAATATTCGAATGACTGCCTTTCAAGTTGGCTCGAATATTCGAATATTCGAACAACTGTCTTTTCAAAATTCCTCGAATAAACGAATATTTGATTAACTCATTTTTCCAAAACATCGAATAAACGAATTATTCGAATACAGGCCTTTTTCATTTATTCGACTATTTGAAATCGAATAATTGGACTTTCTCGAATATTCGACTATTCGAAGAGTCGAATATTTCGAATAAATTACTCGAACACGAATATTCGGTTCTAACTATACTAATTACTACCCGGTGCGGCTGCAAGCGGCTGTCCGGGTATCAATCGACCGCCTCCCTCCTGACCCGCAGCCTAAAAAACCTCGAACATTATTAGGATGTGGTGTAACTTTGTCCTGTTTTGCTGACTGGATATAGCTCTGACAGTTATGAAAGGACTAATAAAATGGGCGACCTAGTTACAAAAGTTGTCATATTTCTAAACACTGTTGTTGAACAGCTTCCGGGTAGATATGAAATCGTAGAGTACAATGGCAACTGTCCTAATAAAGCTCTTGCCCACTTCTGAGACGAGAAAACCGCTTCAAAAGTGGCGACTGGAACGCTTCCGCGACTTGCACGCCCCTTCAATGAATAGCCAGAGTACTGTCGCACACAGTCAAGAAGTAAGGTCCCATCACGACTCTGCATTTCAACCGCGGCGGCGGCTGGCATCGAAATCCAAAATCAAGGACTTTTGGAATAGCCTGTTCTCTTTTTCGTATCAGCAAGCTGCATTTCCGCAATCAGCAGGAAATATGCCCACGTAAGCAAAAAAAAATTTCTGTTCGATTGCCCTAACGCTGCTTTTGAAGGAGGAAGATGGGCCTTGACTGGAAAATTTTGGTACCACAAGACAAAAAAACAAATTTTGAAGTTTACAAGTGAAGTCAAGAGACCCCTACCACATGTGTTTTTGACCAAACACAAGAAAGTGTTATCTTTTCTGAGGTTTAATTCAGTAAGTACAATACATCAAACTGCCCAAATTGAGAAGGCTGTGATTAAAGGCAGCGTCCAGGCAGATCCGAGCTCGACGACCACGCCCACTCTCTCGGACGGCCTACCCCTTAAAGGCAGTGTCTCACCAAAATTTAGTTGTCGAGATTTTTGCATTTTGCATGCCTGTCGGAACTGTCTAGCACTGTATGGGCTTGAAATCGCATGAAGTTCCCAAAAACCCCGTTTTCTGAAGGCCCCGCGGAAGCGACGTGGACGAGTTGTTCCTTCCAACTTCAGGCTCAGCCACAGTGGCAGCAACAGAGGGGAGGTGGATGCCAAGTGGAGGGACATGTTCAAACGCGTAAGGGGGAAGACCGAGGGAGTCGTCCGCGCGTACCAACTCGCTCTCCGCGTACCACTTTGAGCGAATTTTTTTCAGCGTGGAGGGGGTCAAATTGGGTGGAACTTGTTGCAATGGCCTACTCAGAGGTCCCTATAATAGAATATGTGAAGATCCGCGCAACTTCAACTTTGGTGAGACACTGCCTTTAAGAACGAAATCCCCTCAGCCTTGACGTGTTTTCACATGACCAACACAGTCGAACTTACAGCGTTTACCTGTTAATACTTGCTTTCGACAAGGAACATCAGAAGCACTCGTCCGGGTTTTCCCAAAATAGCCCCAAAAGGTGGCTTTCTGAGAAATTCACGCTTTTTGAGTCCCATATTCGGAATCAGTGCCATGGAAAGGCCTGGCTAACATAAAAATATAGAAGTCGAGAATCTGCCTGGACGCTCTCTTTAACACTGACAGTCACATATTCTCTTAATCTTCATTGTGTTTGGATGTCAAATTAGACACAAGTGGACTTGTGGTCCAATCTGGCAAGGTTGATCACGTCAGGCAAGATATCTCACTCTCTACAAATCGGTTCCTGCTGCCCTCACGCCATGCGCTGAAAACTTCCATTATGGGCTGGGCGAAACTGTTTGACCAAACGCTCGTTTGAACGATGAAACAACGCCACAGCGATCGGGAGATCAATGATCACGGTTCTGGTAAACGAATTGGTATTTGAACTAGAGGCCATTGACAATAGAACACTATCTAATCCGAACTGCAAGGCGGTGGTGCAGTTCTCCAGCGCAATCGGCCTGCTCCCGATAAATTCGAATTCCTCCAACAGGTGTCTACTGAAATGAGAACGACTATATCTCTCAAGCGGCTCGGGTCCCATTTGGCCGCCTCGTTTAGCCCTGGAAGTATTCATCCAACGGTATTACCCTATTTCAGAGTACAAGCCAGAGAGTTTTTCCTTCTAAAATAGACCAGCCCAAATACGCCAGAGGATACCGCGACCAAAGTGCCCTATAGATGCAGGGTGTGAGAATAATTTTCAATTCCCAAAACACAGCGAAACAGCTGAGCTTCCTTCAAAATCGGAAAAGATGCGCCTCGTACAGTGAGATTAGAGTATTTTCACTAGTATAACTTTTGTTCAAAACTGAGCTGGTTCTAAGCGGTGAAAAAATTTAATTTTTTCGAGCATGTTCGTGGCGTTGCCTGCTAATTCCTCATCTGTAACGATCATATATGCCTTTATGCACATGCCATTTAGCAGTTGAATAGGAAGCGATATTACGCAGACTACATTCGGAAACCAAAGAGTAATAAATTAGCTTTCGCTGACATATGTGTTATGAACTTAGCGAGCCAGCCAAAAACGCACGGGTGTGATGATGTGAATATAGACGACGAGACGCGTCGACACACAATCTGCCCATAAGTGAAAATCAACTACACCTTTGACCCAATCCTGTGCAAGAATTGCCACATGTCCTAGCTTCTTATAAACCTCGAAAAGATGGTTTCTGTATACGCCGTCCTCTTCTCCTTGGGAAGATAAGTAGTCAAGGCGTGCCTCGAGAACGCGATTAGCCTAAAATTTTGCAACTGACAAGTCAAGTGAAATGACGAAATCCTACCTTGAAAAGAATGCTCCGTTCAGGACATCGGCGGGGATCACCATTGCTATAGTAATTATTGAAATCAAGACTAAAATATGCATTACAGGTGGAAATCAGAACCTAGACTTAAAATAATAGTAAAAAAAAGATTCTATCACGTAAAATAATATAAGTTCGGAACACTTTAGAAAACTCAAAAGAAGACATCTTGAATTGAATCGCTTCTTAGAAGTTTTGTTTTTTCACTAAGGTAAATGCATTCCCGCAGAAGAGCACAACAAGATGAAGGATGATCGATTCAGCGCTGCTTCCACTTTCCCGTATTATGAATAAATCCTGCTTTGGGTGTGAGAACTACTCAGAGAACCGCCGGGGCAGAAGGTCAGGGGAAAATCCACTTTATCCACCTTTCGCAATTCGTCAGCAGAATTACAGGAAAATAAAAAAAGCACTTTCCCGATGCCGCTTGATCCTTTTCCCGCTCAAAACTTTTGAGCTAGATTCTCAGATCGCTGGAGTAGGCGGTCATGGTCAGACAATCGGGATGTAGAAAAATAGAAGGTAACGGGTAACGCTCCCCAGCGATGATAAGGCTTGCCCTAGTCGGAGAGGAAACACTCTCCGATAAGGAAACCGCATAAGAATTCCTGAAGGGACCGCTTCAGATTCAATGGATTTCTTCCGCCAACCAACGTAACAGCCATAATGTATGTCTCTGTTGTCCATGCCTCAAAATGGGGATGAAGGTGACCACCTGAGACCAGGGCCCGACGGGGTGGCGCTTTCACAAGCTGGATATCGTTTTTGGCCCGCAAAAGCAAAGAGGAAGTCGTATTTTGGGGTCTGGGGCGGAGCCCCGGACCCCAAAATACGTCTTCCCCTTTTTTACCGATAAACAATGCACAAATCATTCTTTATTCATCATTCCTTGTTGATGCTACTGTCCTATGAACTTAGATTCCAGCAATGTGAAGATTATGTGCTCCGATCGCTAGCCTGCCCGCAGGCGGGAATTCAAATCGCAATTCTTGTAAGAGGAAAATAACAAAATAGGCTCGTTTTCAATGCACAAATAACGATATGGCACCAAATTTGCTGTGTAGTTGGAAGACCATGAGCACGAAAAAATTATGAAAAATTATGAGAAACTTATGTGAATTTAAAAAATGGTTAGTGTTTTTCAAAATTGGGTGGCTCCCGCGCCACCTGGGAGCCACCTGGGGTGGCTCCCTGCTTCCCTTCACATAATTTCCCGGATTTCTTTACATAAATGTGGACTAGGTCGAGAGTATTACTATATATTCAAATCCGCTTCCAAAACCACCAAGGAACCGCTTCGATACAGCCCCAAATAGGGTTCGCAGCGTTATGATCGGCCTCGGAAAGCGCGCTCCAATCGCAATCGGTTATTGTAAATTGTAAAGTTTCGCAACTGACTAATATATGAGTAGTATCTTAGATATATAAACGTCAAAGTTTGTGCAGATCTTGACCCTATGTTTTTTTTATAGATTCCTTTGCGGATGAACCCATTGAGCTGAAACCTTGATGACCCGGACTGGACCAGGATAGCCAGGTAGTACTTCTATAATAAGCGCTGAGGCCGCCCATCTTATTATTTGTGTATATCTGTTACAAAGGGGAAGTCGTAAGAAATTTTGGCTTCAAAGGGGATATCGTTTTCAAAATTCTGAAATGCCACCTCCTGCCGGGCCCTGCCTGAGACTAATCAACAATCCTAACCACAATGACAATAGGGGTAATAGATCTAGTAGAAATGAATGTGAGATATGCGACAAAATCAGCACAACTAGTGGTAGAATCTTTTTATCTATCTATTCTTTCAAAACAAACAAACCGCATGGGTCAAATTGCAAATCAGTTAATGTGGTTTACCTAATCACATGCGCTTGTAGCTTTCAGTATGTTGGGGAAACAAAACAAAAATTGAGAGCCAGGATGAATCAACATATGTTTTCATAAATTTACCCTGAATACAATTAAAAAGAAGTTTTCATAAATTTACCCTGAATACAATTATAGTGAACCATTTTGAAAACACTGAACACAGCAGATAATTTTACAACTGATATATTAGACCAGTGCGTCACCTCTGCTTCGCAGAGGTTCGCACTGGCTCTACTATCTATGTGCCTTACTCATTCTCGTAAAATCGTGGCACTGGAACTCACCGCGCTATGCCGACTACCACGAATAAAATGTAAACAACCACTCATTTAGAAAGTCTTTTCACGTGAGATCGGTGATTTCGAGTGGATGAAACTTTTCGCAGGAAGACAAACGCAAATTTGAATAGGTTTTTGGATTTGTCATGGCTTGGAAGTCGCCATAAAGGTAATGATAACCGTGAGCTACATCTCTGTGCGAAAATCTTCTCAAACGCTTGGCTAGAACCTTGGCAAGTTGACCATTTACACAACCAATTCATTTTGGCGCCATTTTCGTTATGTAGTAAGCTTTCGACCACTTTTCTGGCTAAACTCCATCGCTTGCACATTTGCTTACCAAACTCATCCACGACTCTGCAAAAAGTGGTGATACGGACCGAATTTTGCGGTACAGAAGCCAGGTGGACCCGTTTGGCGCGCAATTTTTAACGGATCCACTCGACGGATTTGCTCGCGCTTTTGTATATTGGACTTTCATGCTGCTAGCATGCGCCGTGCAAAATTTGGGCTCAGGAGGTTGGCTGGAACATGTTCTACGAATTTCGTAACGGACAGACACACAGACACACAGACACACAAAAAGACGTAAACAACCCTTAGCCCGTTATTATAAGTCATGATTACTCAGATGAAGAAAATAATATTGAACATAGTTTAACACGTTTCGGACCGCGAAATCGCGCGCGGCGAAAAAGAGGGTACTATCAGCCGTTAGCCAACAAAGGGACCTTAATTCGTAGAATGTGTGCTACATCTGTAATCAGCATGTCAAATAAGGCCATACCCAGAGTTATGAGTGAATTCGAAGTTTTTGAATTTTGTCGTCTGAGAAGAACTTCCGTGCTTTCTTGAAAGGCAGGAACAAGAACTCAGTTTCTAATTGTATCCAAAAGTATCTATGTTGTACACGATACACATCATTATTGAAACTACGGTTTTTCTCTTTGTATTCAAAGCCAAGAAAAGTTGCGACGTCGCACGCGTCGTTCGCGTTGCCGCACTTCGTTGCAGGTGATGTTCGATTTGTCCTCATATCTCCTGAACAAATATTGATAGAACAGCTCCACAGACCCTTCGGAAAGGACGAGATTAGGCCTTTGACTTGGTGACCTTGGACAAAAAGAAAACCTCCTGTAAACGTTGAAAAGGTTCTTCAAAGGCGCGTGCTGCACCATGTGCAGCACCGGTCCGAAACGTGTTAAGAGAAAAAGAACTTCAATGGATAAAATATCTTATGACAAGGGTCAAGCGTGGGGTGTGGCATGCCACACCTGGAGGGTCATATTGAGGAATCAGGGAAGGGGGGGGGGGGCGTTATCAAGGCGTCCGCTGTTCGCATAACATGATATCCGTTAATAATATCAAATAGGCCCGTCATGCAAAATACTAGCGCATTGATGTTTGACCCATTATCGTACACGTACAGTAAGCATAATTAAAGATCTGTAAAGCATAAGAGCACCGCTTTGTAATTGGCAAGTAAAATAACCTCCGTGTTCCAAGTTTAAGCGAACTGAGGTTTCCAAATACAGGAGCACCTAAGTGAGATGATCGTTTTCAAACATGTTACTTTGTTTTAAAGGTAAGTTAACTACTTCTTTTTGCGTTTACTACAAAGAACTACTATTTCTTTGCTCACATTAGGAATGCTACTTCAGATGACCTCCAAATTAAGGAACTAGAGCAAGCCAAAACCTCGTTTGTTCCATTTTTCGCTTTCAATATCTCAGGCTAGAGAAGACCAACCATGTTCAAATCACTTTAATGTGGATTGCAGGCTTAGGCTATCAAATATATACATTCTTGTCGCCTTCCCTTGCGATTCAAGTAGTAGCGCAGACTTAGCATGTTATCGTATCCCAATATTTTCGCAGTATTTTACCAGTATTTTATATTTGCATAGGTAAGGAAAAACGATTATATCCTGCTCTTGAAGAAACGTTTTCTATGAAATTTCTGATATGTAAAGAAGAAGGTTAAGCAGCAACAAACATATAAAAAATGGTTAATTCACACGCTAATTATGGATATGTTGCCCATTATGTTTGACAGGGCCTTCAAGTAATGCTATCTTCGGTATATAGTTCAGGAGGTCTTATTGAGACAGCAATTAGAGGGGGAGGGGGTCGTAACCAGCGATCGTGTGGCACACCTCTTGCTTGACCCTGCTTATGACCGCTTACCCCTTTGGTAATGACCAAATAAAAGGATTTCACAATTATCAGAGTCAATGAACCTATTAGAAAAGAAAGAGCATCCATTTTCCAGATGCCCTGTAAGACATAAGAGATGTAGGGGTAAGAAAAGAAGGCCTAGAAGGATAGGGAAGTGTGAAAGTAGAACTGATTATATAGTTAGTAAATCAAATGAACTTCAAGGCAGCGTCCAGGCGAATCTGGACTATAGGGCTCTCACGTGGATAGTAATTAAGGGGCCCTAACTATTAATTTCGCGCGAGGACTCATGGGTTGCGACATGATTCCAAGCGAAATACGATCCCAGGGTTCAGTTTTGAGGCGAATATCTCAGCCGTTAGAGCACTACCTGAGCTGCCGTTTGGGCAGTGGCTTAGCTAAGGCTCGCGAATTGCGATCCATGTGAGGGCACCATGTGTCGAGATATGTCTGGGCGCTGCCTTTAATCAGCATGCACTCCATGTATATTTTAGATCCTTGAATAAACATGACATAAAGATTGATTGATTTTGTATTCGCTTCCTCTTTTTACGATTTGGAATACAAACATAAATTCAAAATTTTAGCACTGATAGCTAAACCTTTTTGGAGTAGTCAAAAAAGTCGTGGTGATGATAATGCACTAGTAGCCATCTAAAAACCCTTCTTAGTGAGGCATTCTCAAAACTACTTTCGCTATTGCCAAACGGTTTTGTGGGGGGAGT